TATCTATCTATCTATCTATCTATCTATCTATCTATCTATCTATCTACAGTATGTATATATATCACGTATATATGTCACAATTTCTGTATTCTGCAGGCATGAATATAATTTGTGATTTGAAGTATCTTTTTTTCTTTCCTTTTCTTTTTACCAGGATCAATTATCAGCAGACATGTACAGTTTTGTGGCCAAAGAAATAGACTATGCAAGCTACTTCCAGACAGTGAGTAGATACCTGTCCCAGGTGAGTCTGAGCTGGAGGTGAGGCGAACGGTGTCCTGATCCCGGTGTTTTTTTTTCAGCTGATAGAGGTCCAGGCGGAGTACCACAGGAAGTCTCTGGAGCTTCTGCAGAGCGTCCTGCCACAGATCAAAGCCCATCAAGGTGAATCTGAGTCCGATTCATTCATTTTATTTTAATTCATTTTATTGAATTTTTCTCTTTTTTAACAACAAGCCTTCAGACAGCAAATTTAACGTTATAACATGTACTTTTACACACTTACTTTCACTCAATCGAACCTGCATTCATTTAGTTCCAAGAATATACAAAAACCTTTAGATTAAAACAGAGAAAATTAGCAAGGCAATATATGAGTAGAAACTGTAATCAAGACATCCATTAATAAGCTCCATCTTAACCCTTTAAAGCCTGATCCAAGAATAAAACAAAACAGAAAATTACTTTTTTTTGGTTTGAATTCCTTATTTAGCTTTTTAACAAAATATGTAAAAAGAAAAAACAGAAATACTTTTTTGATATTAATAATTTATTACTATGCGATAAGTCAAGATTATTTTTTGTGTAGTCTTCTGCCCCCTGTTATCAGGTTTATCTGATTGTGTACAATAGGATTTTTTACCATTAAATTAAGCTAAATGTGTCAAAACATTTCAGAAACCTTATGTATCAAATATGATACATTTGGCATTATAGGGTTAAGTCCCTATGATCCTCATATATGGCTCCCATAGCTTCTAAAAGTCCCGTAGTTTATCCTTGGCAATGTATGTTAGTTTTTCCAGTCCGAGTGAGTTTGCAATTTCTTTCTTCCAGAGTCCCATGCAATACGATTCATTCATTTAATTTTCATTCATTTTATTAATATTCTGCCACTCGAACCCCTTCTTTTGATGAAAATGCAGTTAATATTACAGTGGTGATTTTACTGCCATTTAAAGAATGAAAACATCAAAGTTAAACATTTATATGGATCTTTGTATATTTACAAAACCTAAAGCACAGAGCATGACCCCTCTGTTTTACTGTGAGTTGGAAGGCAAAAAGCGACACAAATGTTTTATTAATAGCTTTCATCCTCATCAGTTCAAGTTAATAAAACAATGAGAAAAATCCTGATGGATGAAAGAAATTGAAATCTGAAGCCGATTCGTTTAAGTGGAATCAGACTTCTGAGAGCGCTGCTGCTTCGCTAAGCTAGGCCAAGCTAGCTTGTTAGCATTTAGCTGAAGTGTGTTATATACGTTTTTGTCTTTACTCCTTTATAAACATAGTTTAATAGAAAGAAATAACAACCAGAAAATTGAAAAATGAAGGTGAATGAATGAAAAATATAAAAAAGTGTCAGAATTTTTTTAATGTAACGGTTTAAACAGTTTTAGCTAACGGTATCTCTGTTAGCACTTGTTAGCTGCTGAGATGCTGCTGCTATTCTGTATTTATAACCACACTTCTGGGGCATCGTAACCTAATAATGTTAAACATAAAAAAAAATCTGACTTGGGTCTTCAATTACAGAAACTTCTGGTTATTTAGTCTCATTAAATGTTAAACTGTTCCCTATAGCATGATATCAAATGATAACAAATCAAGTTCAAGGGGTTAAAATGAACGATTATTCAATTAGATTAGATAATTAGTAAAATAATAATTTCTAATTGAATTATTAGATAATTCAATTAGAAATGAAAATCTAAAACAATCTTTGTAAGTATTAAAAAGCAGGTAACTTCCAGAGAGGCTAAATTCTTGTTGTTGGACAAAAGAGACGTCTAAGCTAATGAGCTTCCATGACAAACTAACAGTTGAGGCAAAAGAATAGACGTTTTTTGCCAAAAACAGCATGAAAACAGAGTTGTTTTTTATAGTATTTTTTGGGTTTATTTTGGAACCTTTAAAATGAGACAGACGGTATTTGATTTGGAGGGCGGATGATGAATGCTTTGTGAGTGTGTAACGCTGTGTGCCTCGCAGAGACCTGGGTGGAGAAGCCGTGCTACGGGAAACCATTAGAGGAGCACTTAGCGCTCAGCGGGAGAGATATTGCCTTTCCCATCGAGGCCTGTGTCACCATGCTGCTGGAGTGCGGCATGCAGGAAGAGGTAAACACACCGCCGTCCAGAGGGTTAGCCCGAGTCTTTAGTTGGAAACCTGAGAATATACCAGAATAGAACAAAAGTATGAAAAATAACATGTATTGGACACAGTTAAGTATATTACAGACAAAAACCTCTCTCTGGGTCTCAGTGGGCAAAGAGCCCTGAGATCTGGGTGATGGGCATTATCTCCTGGGCTCCATCCGCCTCCTCAAAGGAGGACTGGACACAACCAAGTCCTATTGGCCAGTTAGCTCTGGGCAGGAACAGGCCAGGTCCTAATTCATGCAGATGACATTAGAATGTGCTAACAAATGGTGTGTGTTTGTGTTGACCTAAAAATGGATCCAATGCAACAGAGAAAGAAAAAGAAAGAAAAGGAGAGTCTGTGGACACAGCCAGACTTCAACACAATATATATATATATACACATATATACATATATATATAGTTCTATAAGGAAATAAAACGATCAGTAATTTACATAGATCATGTGATAGCATACAATGCTAAAGTGAGTAATTATAACCAAATTCGAACAAGAGCAAGAAACGTGATGCACAAGACAGCACAAGTCTTATTTTCCAAAAGGAAATTCAGCTCCTGTGCATGAACATGTACAGTTTAGTCCACTTTTCCTGTTCATCTGGACATCACGAGGTCGGTTTTGGTTTCTCTGATACTATTTTTGGTCTCTGTTACAACAATATCTTGCATTGAATCAATAGAATAGAATATATAGAATCCATCTCCAATGTTTGAATGTAAGGAAAACCCAGAATGTGGGATTTTTGTTGTAGAAAGTGCAATAAGCACACATTTAATTTGAATAATTAACTTTGGGGAAAAGTAAACAACTCTACAGATCTTTACAGTATCATTACGGTTCCATCTACTTTTTTTTTTAGGTTTTCATTAGTCGATTTTTTAAATATTTTATATATTTCAAAGCATATAAATCATTATTGTGGTTTGATTACATCTGAACTCATTAGAAAGTGATTTTGCATGTGTAGCTATAATCAGGTTTCAGAAAAATGATCTAAATTTAAATATTTGCATGAAAAGTTCTCATATATTCTAATTACTTTTTCTATTTCCACAATTTCTGCTTTTAGACCGTTGAACTCAAAGATTCAACCCCATGTTTTAATTAAGTAAATAAAAAGACCCCGATGAGGGCCAATTTTTTTTAAAATAGTTTAAGTATTGGTGAAATCCACAAAGATACAGGAAGCAAATTAAGATGATTGTTGCACATCCATGTTTATAATTAGTTAACTAAAAATTCTTACGAGATAAATTGAGTAAAATGGATGTTTAACCTCCTGTGGCCTGGTCTTGGTGGTGTTTTTGTCTCAGGGTTTGTTCAGAATCGCGCCCTCGGCCTCCAAACTGAAGAAGCTGAAGGCGTCTCTGGACTGTGGAGTTTTAGACGTCCAGGAGTACTCAGCAGACCCGCACGCCATCGCAGGTGAGCCGCCCTTAGCCCCGCCCACTAACTCCTCCATTAGCCCCGCCCACTAACTCCTCCATTAGCCCCGCCCACTAGCTCTGCCCACTAGCTCCGCCCACTAGCCCCGCCCACTAACTCAGCCCACTAGCTCCGCCCTTAGCCCCGCCCACTACCTCCGCCCTTAGCCCCGCCCACTAGCCCCGCCCTTAGCCCCGCCCAC